ACCCCTAAACCCCTAAACCCCTAAAACCTAAACACTAAACTCCTAAACCCCTAAACCCCTAAACCCCTAAATGCTAAACCCCAAACCCTAAACCCTAAACCCCTAAACCCTAAACCCCAAACCCCAAACCTAGACCCCTAAACGCTAAGCACCCCTAAAAGGGAGACCTGAGCTTTGGAGAAAGCCCCTACCTCTCCCGGAGGATGATTGTTGCTTTTGAAGAGAAAACCAATGGCCAAGGTATCCTATGATGGTGGTTCTGGGATTTAGGGGCTTAGGGTTGTGGGTTTAGAGGGTTTATAGGGCTTATAGGGCTTTTAGGGTTTATAGGGTTTGTAGGGCTTATAGGGCTTGTAGGGTTTATAGGGTTTAGGGTTTATAGGATCTGTAGGGTCTATAGGGTCTACAGGGTTTAGGGTTTAGGGTTCTGGCCATGATGATGGTAATGCTGATGCGCATTATGCTGGTGATGATGTCGATGAGGACGATGGTGATGATTTCCCCATAGCCTGAGATCATGACTGTCCAGACCATGGCGGAGCTGGTGGTGGTGGTGATAAGTGATGTGAGAACCCTAAAGCCTAAAACCTAAACCTAGGGTTTAGGTTTTAGGGTTTAGGGTCTAGGGTCTAGGGTTTAGGGTTTAGGGTTTAGGGTTTAGGTCCCTAAACCCTAAAACTACAATGATCCTGACCTGCACCATGCAGATGATGATGGCCCGTTGCCATGTCTTCCTTGACGTTTGCTGAGCTCGTGGGTATCACGTGCTTCGTCAAGGTTCCGATCTGCCTAGAATAGGGGCCTTAGGGTTTAGGGTTTAGGGTTTAGGGTTTAGGGTTTAGGTTTGGGATGTAGTGTACTATCAGTACAATAAGGAGCCCCCAAAACCCTATTCTAATTCTTAAAACCCCAACACTGTATACTTGCTGCTTTGCTTTCCTATTCACTTGCTCTCTAACTATCCACTTGAACCCACCAAACTGGTACGACACCCTTCTTGGAAGATCGGCGAAAAACCTGCGTGTCTACATAGACAGCACTTCTGACAACCTGCTACAAGCCGTGTAAAATCACCAAACCTCAACCCCCGAACCCCTAAACCCTGAACCCCTAAACCTCTAAAGCCGTAAACCCCAAACCGCGTGCCCTGAACCCCTAAGCCTCTAAAGCCGCCGTAAACCCTAAACCGGAAACCCTGAACCGTAAACCCTGAACCTGTAAACCTCTAAAGCCGTAAACCCTAAACCGGAAACCCTGAACCCAGCCGTGTAAAATCCCCAGGCCTCAACACCAAAGAGATGGAGTTTAGGGTTTAGGGTTTATAGGGTTTAGGGTTTAGGGTTTTGGGTTTAGGGTTTCGGAGATGGAGGACCCGCTTCCGCTCTCTCTGTCTGCTCAAAGCTCACCCAGCCTCCTGAAGGTCCGGATTTTGCGTCGTTCTAGGGTTTATAGGGCTTATAGGGTTTATAGGGCTTATAGGGTCTATAGGGCTTATAGGGTTTAGGGTTTATAGGGTCTATAGGGTCTATAGGGTTTAGGGTTTAGGGTTCTGGCTTTTAGGGTTTATAATAAGTTATACGGGCTTAGAGTCAAGCTTTACAGGGTTGGGGGGTATGGTGAGAGTTAAGGTTTACATGGTTTAACGTTTAGGGTACGTAGAGTTTAAGGCTCGCAGTTTAGGGGTTAGGGCTAGAACTTAAGGCTTAAAGGCTTTTTGCCTAGTTTTTGTTGTGGTTCCTGGTAGTTGTTCAGGGTTTAAGAATTTGTGAAGGTCGCATCGTGGCCTTGAAAAGAAAGTTTCTGCTTTGGGGCTGTTGGGCTTCAGGGTTCCGCCAATAAGTTTCGGATTTAGGGTTTAGGGTTCAGGGGCGTCCTTGTACGCCAAAGAGGGACCACGGCCCCAAAGCAAAACTTTAAACTTGTAGACCCATAACCAACAATTAGAGCCAGGACTATAAACCCTAAACCCTACGCCCTAAACCCTAAGCCCTAAACCCTGAACCCCTAAACCCCAAACCCCAAGCCCAAATAGGCCCAAAGGCTGCTCTCTACTTATTGAGACACCTTTTTCTAAATCACAAACGGTATACCCAAGCCAAAGGCGCATAGAAGCAAAGCCTTGAACCCTGGACCCAACCGTCTAGGGTTTAGGCTTTAGGGTTTAGGTCACTAAACTCACTAATGTACAGGCATGAATAATTAGAATAGGGTTTTGGGGGTTTATTATACTATAGTTAACATAAGGAACCCCGAAACCCTATTCCATTTATTAGGGCCCCAACCACTACAGTCACTAAGCTCACTGAATCGGCATCCTGGACCCACGCCCGAGCTAGAAGCGCGACCAAGCCCGCAGCCCCCGCCTCAAAACAAGAAGCCCGAAACCCTGACTTCAAGAGGTTTAGGGTTTAGGGTTTAGGGTTTAGGGTTTAGGGTTTAGGTTATTCCATACCCAGAAACTCCAAACCGTCAACTCAAGTTCAAGTAGATTAAGGATCTTTCTATTCTATACCGCTGGTCGGAATACTGGGTATCTAAACTGGTGTTGGAGTGTTTGGTTACATCCTGAACCCAACGATCGAAATCCAGGATCTCCAAAGCCCTAAACCCTAAACCCTAAACCCAATCCAGGATCTAAAAAGCGAGCCTCGCAATGCCTTCTTGCAAGTCCCAAACCGGCGCCGCACCGTCGCAGCTCGATTATCGCAGGGGCTCCAGTGACTAAGCCCGAAATCCTCAACCCCTGCACCCGGAGCTGAAATCCTAATGTAAGGGCCTTAATAATTAGAATAGGGTTTTAGGGCCCATTATACGATAATTATAGTAAGGACCCCCACAAAATTATAGGTAATTATTTAGGCCCTTACATGAAACCCTAAAGTCCAAACAAAATTACACCCTAGCCTAAAGTTGCCTGCTGGAACTGAGATCTGTAACGGGGTTGCTCCAGCGTTTTCAGAGTATCCTCCGACCCCCCTAAACCCTAAAGGATCTAATGGGGTTTAGGGGTGCAGGCTCTAAGGCGCTTAGGGGCTTGGAGGGACAGGGGCTTGGGCGTTGCTGTTTGGGGTTTTAATAGTTTAGGGTTGAGGGTTTAGGGTTTACGGTTTTAGGGTTTAGCGTTTAGAGGTTAATGGTTCAGGGTTTGGGGTAGGGCTTGGTTAAGGATTCATTGGGGTTCCTGTCGGTGTGAACAGAGGTGTTGCTGACCACGGGTCTAGCTACATCCAGTATTGAACCCAAAGAGAAAGCAGGCTGTCCAAATGAAAGTGGGTTCTCTTGTTAGCAGAATATCCAGTGGCCCTATCGTGAATATTCAGGTCCCCATGAAACCTACAGGACCCCAAAGAACCCTTTAAGGATCCCTTCAGAGGGATGTAGCCCTCCATGCCCCAGCTGCTAAGCCCTACACCCTAAACCCCAAGCCCTTAATCCTAAATCCCAAGCCCAAGCCTTCGGTTTAGGGTTTAGGGCTTTAGGGTTAAATCCTAAACCCCAAACCCGAAACCCCAAACCCTAAACCCTAAACCCTAAACCCTAAACCCTAAACCCTAAACCTTAAACTAAGCCGTAGGCCCAGAGCCGTTCCACCTGAGGCCGTCTCCTCGCGAAAGACTTCGAAGCCGCAGCGTTCGCCTTCTGCGCCGCCGCTGAGGAGAGTCGTTTTAGGTTGTTTTGGGATATTTGTTTAGGGTTTAGGGTTCCCCAAAACCCTAAACCTTAACTCTAAACCCTAAGCCCTAAACCCTAGACCCTAAACCTTAAACCCTAAACCCTAAACCCTAAACCTTAAACCCTACACGAGGGTGCAGGGGTCTCGGGCGGAGGCCTTAAGCAGAGTGCCGAGCTTAGGTTAGCGGCCTCAGGCTACCGCTTTGAGTTTGGAGCTTGGATGCAGGATGGTTCGGAACCCTGAACCCTAAACCCTGAACCCGAAACCCGAAACCCGAAACCCTGAACCCTGAACCCTGAACCCTGAAACCTGAACCCTAAACCCTAAACACTGAGTTCTAGTCCCTCGACTAGAGCCTTTACGCCCGTGTTCTCTAAACTAGGCCGTCAAGCATAGAATACCTAGAGATTCTGGCCAAGGGTGCCCCTAAACTGGACCCAAGGTCCTGTAATGGGGAGTACTTGGACCCTTCGGGTAAGAAGCCGTATAACACCCTAAACCCTAAACCCCTAAACCCTAAACCCCTAAACCCTAAACCCCTAAACCCCTAAACCCTAAACCCTAAACCCGACTTCCTAAGCTGTACGGGTGCTTTCCCCGCGAGGAGAAAGCCCGAGGAAGAGGAGGAGAAGGACGAGAGATCCTGGCTTCAAGGGTTAGTTTAGGGTTTAGGGTTTAGGGTTTAGGGTTTAGGGTTTAGGGTTTAGGGTTTAGGGTCTAGTCTGGGCCATTTTCAGGTGGGTAGTTGCTGTTATAGGAGCCTTATAGAAGGTCTATATACCTTATGAATTATAGCAGCCCTATAGACCCTGAACTCCCGACCTGTAGTTTCCTTTAGCTTAGGGTTTTGGGGATTTCTAAGCCCTTAACCCTGAACCCTAAACCCTAAAGCCCTAAACCCTAAACCCCAAAACCCTAAACCCTAAACCCCAAAACCCTTAAACCCTAAACCCAACAAACCCTAAACCTAAATCCACAATCTGGCCACCTCTCAACAGTCGCAGGACCACGGCAAATATGGACGGCAGCTTGGGCCACGCATTCAGCACTGCCGCCAAACGCTAACGCCTGAAACCCCCCACCACCCCCCAGGTGGCTCAGATTCCGAAGCCTCAAGTCCTAAACCCTGATCCCTATCGCCCCTATCTACGGTTTAGGGTTTAGGGTTTAGGGTTTAGGGTTTAGGGTTTAGGGTTTAGGGTTTAGGGTTACTATCGCCCCTAAACCATAAACCCTGAACCTTTAACTTTAAATCCCTCAAAATCCTGAACCCTGAGCCCTACACCCTAAGCCCCTTCAACCCGGACATAAGGCCCCCCAAACGCTACATCCAAGGAAGCCCCTAGACGACCCCACACCCTAAGCCCTAAACCCCAA